GATACTAGATTTAAAATGCTTTTCGTTTTTGTAAAGACAAAAATGCTTTGTTCCTTCTTTTCTTGTATAATAACAAGTACGCTCACTGCATGTAACGTGATTAAAGGATATGAGCTAAACTGTGTTCAAATTATTTCTATTAACAAAAGCAGTTTGAAATTTCGTAATTAAGGGAGAAATTCGCAAACAATCTGGCATGTTCAACGTATTGTATTATTTTAAGTATATATATTATACAATTATAACCTTTGTAGGAGGTCGATACAAGGATATATAGACCTGAAAGAAGTATATTGACTGAGGACGAAGTCCGAGGTCGATATACTTCTTTGGGTCGATATATCCTGTATTGACCTCATAAATAGGCTATAATTGTTATATTATTAATTTCCGACCATATTTGTATCAAAATCGTCATTTGATTTTGTTGTAATTTTATAGATATCATATTGTCTCCTAGACAATAACAACAGATAAGTTGTTATTTCATTTACTTTTTTGATATTTTTTTTTACATGTTATGTACAAATGATGTATTTGAAGATTTTTTTTCTTCAAATAACCGATCATAGATATTTTTTTATAAATCTTTTAACAATATCATGAAATTCATTACATGACGTCACAAAGTATATCGGTTTTTAGATATTCTAAAAATAACCGTGCAATATGCTTTTTGCTATCCGCCGTTTTCTCTCTACCTTCGAAAATAGAGTTTAACATGTGACTATCCCTGAACGAATCAAATTAGTTAAAATATACGAATTAATAATATATACATATATGAAAAAAAAAAAAAAAAAATATTAAAAAATAAAAGAAACAAACAAGAAAAAAAAAAAAACAGTTAAAAGAAACAAAAAGTGATTTCTGATCATAAAGGACACAGACAAAAATAGCGGGAATTCAATTTGATAAAAAAAAAAAAAAAAATAAATTATTACTTTCAGCTTACCAAAATGATTATAAATGTGTCATTATAAAATTATATTTATCCAGAAAGAAATATATTATAGAACAGTAATTTTTATCACAGTGTTGATTGCAGCCAGTCTATTTTTGACATGTTTACCTATTATGTCTGTTTGTTTTGTTTACACATTGTTTTAATTATAATGGAATTGAAGGCGAATGTCGTACAACTGAGAGGTTTAGCTAAATATATAGTCAAGTTTAATCCTCCATTTTCTACATAATGAAAATTTATGTACCAAGTTAGGAATATGACAGTTGTCTTAACATTCGTTTGATGTGTTTGAGCTTCTAATTTTTCAATTTGATAAGGTATATTTTCTGTACTTTTCATTTATTGCGAGGTATATATGATCGCTTGATTGATTGATAGATTGTTGGTATTAAACTCTTCTTTTAGAACCATTGACTATGCCGTGAAGCCAGTTTGTATTGACGCGGAAACCAGAGTGTTCGCACGGAACCGCTTGTTTTGGCCACAATCAAGAATGTTTTTTTTATTTTTAATTTGCAAAACGCTTTGTTGATTTTAACCTGAACGCAATTTTTCTCTGCTAGATTATAAATGTTGATACAAAAAAAAAATCATATTTGTTTTGCAAAAATTAAGAAGTAATTCAATTCAAGTAACCTCGTCTTTATTTCTGATGTGTGTTGCTTGAAACTAAATACGATATCTTGTATGGCAGCATATGGTACGGCTCCTACTATATAATTTGAAAAGGAAAATAAAAAAGTCATATATTAGCGTGTTTGATCAATAAGAATGAATACCTGAATGTGTTAAAAAGGAATGGAAGAAATGATTAATTGATGTTTGCTGAACGTCCAGGGATAAATGTATTATGGATGTGCAGGATAAGAATAAATTAAGAATACATGAAATATATCAAAAGGAATAAAGGTAAGGTAATTTCAATTTTCAATCTTCCTTTTATGAACTTGTCATGTGACACAATAGCCCTCAAAGATTGGTCGTGTGTTATATTTGTTTCCTTTTTTTTATTTATACAGTTTTCGTAAATAGTTATAGCAATCATATGTTTTGGACTCAATTATATATGTTTATAATACATGACTATACGTGAAGCAAAAACACCTATCCCATACCGCCCCATTTAAATAAAACATTTTCAGAACTACTGAACTACATCGATATTCGTCAGACAATAATGTTGATGCAGACAAAGAACACACTAACATTTCGTAGTTTCGAAATATACATGTATATGATTAAACATATCTTTTGAAGCACAAATCAAAGGAATACAAGCTACTTGAAGTTTGATCGGGTAAGTTACCTTACACAGTTTCGCCTCGGTTGACAATGTTCTTTCTATGACTTTAGGTATATAAAAACGTTCTATGATTTCATTTACATAACAGCATTCTATAACTTGAAGTAAATAACGACGTTCTATATATAAAGTGTCCTATATATACCAAAGTTCAATGATTTCAAGTTGATAACAGCGTTTAGTGAATTCATGTACATAACAACATTACAGTCATTAAGAGAAGGTAAAATAAGTGTAGCAAGATTTATTTTTGTTTGACAGTCAATGAAAATTGCTACATTGCACATGTTACATGGCCGAGAAAAAAACTCGAACAAAACCATCCATTTTTGGGGTTACTGTCATCCTGAGTAAACAGAAAATGGAAGGTCGTTCATTTTTGCGTGTCTTATAATTCGAGAAATCACAAGAAATGTCTTGGTTAGAATGATAGCAAATTACGGAGTAAGCTCCCCTTTATTGGTATGTTTTAGTGCACTTCAATCGTTTTATATCGTGAAATACCACAACTTGAAAACGAATGTTATATTTGTGCATTACTACACATTTTGAACTGAAGTTTATGTAAGTTTAGTGAGTTTTTGTTTGTCATGTTTTCACCACTCTGGGGAGCAGATTGGAACTTGAGATTCAAAATAATTCTCTGGCGTAAGAGATTGGACAATAAAATACTTCTCTAAGACATGTGCAAGAGCTTCCTTAGTATGCGTGTTGTTTAATGGTCTGCGAAAGGCTCTGTTATTGCTAGTTTGGTATAATTAAACATACGTGACCATTGTAAGCCTTGCATATCCAAGATTGTCACCCCTTATATTTTTGTTCAACTCGGGATCCGTCGTCAGAGAAATAATCTTTTACGATTGATAATTCTGATATTCACCCTTTCTTCGATCCATATTTGTATATACTCAAAGAAAAATAACAACAACTTCAACATCCAACTTTTTGAGATTTTATATTTCACTAAATACATATTTGTATGCATACCCAATGAAAGTGTGTTGACCCAGTTCGAAGTCAAAATTATTTAATGGGTCGATAAGAATATGTATTGACTGAAAGGAAAAGGATTCGATTGTTTCATTTTAATATCATATTATGAAAAAGTTGTAACTCGATTTTCTTATACCTTATCTGGTGGACTATTAGTCCCCGAGGATATCATCAGCTCAGTAGTACTGACATAATTTATAGCAAACTTTTCTAAAAGTCTCTGTTTATTTATTTTGAAATTATAAATAATTATATAAGGTTTCAACTCCCTCAGGCAAAGTTGACCTTAAATGGATATGGCAATTTTTTAGGTATTTTTCTGTCATATAGATCTTCAACAATTTCGGTTCTTATACATTTTCGGCTTTGAAATATTCGACTTTTTGCGTTCCTGATGAAGGTAAATCCAGGAAAGTGATTCGGACGCATGAACGTATTTAACGTTTTGTTTTCATATTTTATCTAAATATTCCGTATCATCTTCACAAATAATACACCATGGTCTTGACGTGTCGGAACCGACGTTGTTTAGCATCTTTTATTCGTGTTATAGTGTTCGTTTAATTGTCTTTGTATATTTCTAACCTTTACTGTTTAGACCACTTATAGTAATATCCTTTTGGCGTGGCTCGGTATTTATACATCCTACCATTGTGTTATTGTACTATGGCCATTTTTTTATAGTCTTGTCTTTCATTTTTGATTATGTGCTTTGTCTACAGAGTGTCTACATTTCATCTTGATTTTCTTTGTTGAGATAGTTGTTTGGTTTTATAATGATTAAGATTATTACACACTGTTGACTGCAGTACCCACATTTTTATCTATTACATGTATTATGTTTGTTTGTTTTGTTTACACATTGTTGTCAATATGATTGAATGTTATGCGACTGACATACAGGTTACAGGATTAGCTAGCTATAAAACCAGGTTTAATTTACCATTTTCTACATAAGGATTTGTTTGTACCAAGTCAGGAATATGGCAATTGTTTTTCATTCGTTTGATGTGTTTAGCTTTTGATTTTGCCATTTTTTAGAGTATTTTACCGTTTAGAATTATCCTAGGAGTTCGGTATTATTGTTATTTTACTTTTTACATGTTTAAGGTGTTTAAATTATTTTAAAATTCATGACTACACAGTGTGTGTTTTTCTTTATACGTTTTCACGTTTATTATGTTCGACGAATTAGTGGTATAACTGTTTTCTGATTATTTCTTGTTGAATTCATCATGAACTATCCTTGTTTAAATATTTCGGAAATTTCCAAACACACAATTCCTGACAATAAAAATTGATACATCTTATATGTTTTGAGTCTTTAGCACAACAACAAAAAAATCATTTATGACTTACAGAATCAGAATATACGTATCTGATATTACTACAACAGTTTGGATGCATAATGCTGTGCTTCGGGCCGTTTCTAGTAAATTGGAAAGTTGTAACACTAACAGTGTTGCTTATGAATTACTTAATCGGTATTCTTACCTTATACTTTCTACAAATGCAATTCTCTTTGCCATTTAAATCTAAAAAAAGTATTTTAATTGAGTGTAAAATAATGAACATTACGAGATGTACAATGAATCAAATGACAAAAGAAAAATAATGGGGATCAAGTACACTTGTGACGTCTAGACTAAGATATGTATGGATTATGTAAATCAAGTTTGCATTTATCTATTTATTATACCACTTTTCATGCTGAAGAGTTACATTGAACACACATATGTTTTTGTAGATCAGATCAACATGAATTGCAAGGTGATGTTTTTGTCTGAATTGGTGATTTTGTTCTGCCTTATTGGTCAAGGTCAGTAATGGAAACGTTTTTAAAACAAATATAACTAGTTCAATTTAACGATTTAAACACACAAAAATAGCTACAAAAAACAACAAAAAAAAACCCAGCCCAAACAGATATACAATTGAATTACAAATAACCGAGACTTCTTTTTATTTTGTGTTTCATAAAAAGTGAATACGAAATTTTCTAGTTTACGCAAAAAATAAAACTAGTTATACAGTGTGTATATTATTTACTGGATAAGTTTATTTGTTTATTTAGATACAGTTTAATTTATTTATTACTTTGTTCCTTTATCTAGTTGTTTCTCTACTTTTAATACGTGTTGTGCTTGCAAACGTATTTTTTTTTAAAATATTCTGACATTTTTCATTTATTAAATAATTACTTGAGGTAGTATGGGGGTATAATCGACCACTGATCGAAAATTTTTAAACTTTGCCAAAATGTAGTATATATTGTGATTTTTTCCTCAACATAAAGATAATACATTGGGTCATCTAGTTGTTTTCAAACTACATATTGTGAAACAAACGATATATAGTGTATGAATCATACAGAGATAAAGTAGCATTGCATGAATACAAAGTTAAAATAGCTCTCATAAATTTCGTAATACTGAAAGAAAAATATGGGTTCACCGTAAGTTCGTTTTTTTTTTCTGCTATCAAATACAATTAAACAATATTCTGTATGTTCCTCTATAAATTATAAAATGTATATGAGTTACCCCTAAAAAATATGTTAGGTAAAAACATGAAATAAATCAACAATATTTTACCTTTGTGTACATTTGTCTTTCATTTCCTTTTTCAAATGCCCGTGGTTATTTTGTTGGTAGTTTGACAGCATATCTTTATTTAATCTTTAATTTTTGGGATATATGTCTACATAGGTCAAGGAGCAATTATAATTGTAATTCGATAGGTCACATTCGGTGCAAAAAGGACGGAATTGTAGTTACGACAATTGTAATATATACCTCGTCATATACGACGAATACATTACCATTGTTGTGACTACAATTCCGTTCTTTTTTCGCGTATTGTAAAGTCAATCAACTCATGAAGGCGTCTTTTAAAATTTCGAAAGGATGATTTCAACTTCAGCACTTGGAACTCTTGGTTTAATACCTTCCTAGTGAGCAACAACCCTCTATCATGAAAGGAAATGGAAGCCCCCCCCCCCCCCCCCCCTGACATATTGTATCAACTGGGACGTTATACTCCATATGCAGAAGCTGCTAAAAAGTTGTTACATAGAAAAGGAAAGTTCAGAATTGGGAAGCTGCAATGATCTCTTTTGTCGTAAAGTGTGCTTTCAACCGACCATCATTGTTAATATCAAGATGTTTGTCAAGATATGAGACAAACTTAACTGTATCTGTTGTATCCTTTTATGTGTACATGATCCGATTATGGGTAATGCACAACAATTAAGATTTACAGCAAAAGGCAAAGCAGTAAATTTTATTTCTCTTTAGACATCTGCAACTTTCATTATTATGATGCATGTTTAGAAACAGCTATAACTATGTTCAGGCTATTAGATTTAAAAAAAAAATAAATTAAATTAGGTAAATCAAATAGTGTTAGATACAGTGTCAATTAAACATCAGCCAAGCGATAAATATTCATGCAAAAGATACAAAATTACGTGCGTTTGGCATAGAAATATTTACTTTGTTCACTTTGTCATTTTCTCTTTTGTTTTCAATTGTATGTTTAAATGTTCTGATAACGGTTAGTGCACAGCTTCTAAGATTTGCAGCAAATATGAAAGCAGTTAACTTCTCAAGTCAATACTCGTCTGTTTTAATTAAACGAAAGACATATCACAATGACATAATTGACCGATGCATACATATCCCACGTATGTGAACTCGTAAAAAATATACCCTAATCGAAGAGTGCGCCTGCATATCATATAGCAAATTGAGACGGGGAACATTATAATTGAGTACAAAACAAACAAATCAGTTCACAGTTTTGAGGGAAAAAATAGGTTATGCTGTTATGAAGCTACTAATGATTGAAAAGTTATTAATTTAAAAGTAAAAATTGACAATAATGTATTCAATCCCTTTTAATTCACATTCCAGGTCTACAATTCAAGCTTATCGTTTCAACTTATGGTAAGATTAAAGAAGTAAACTTGCAGACTAGGGCCGTCACACATCTTTTGACCGATCTGGGAAGTGAAATTAATTCTATGGATTATGATTATGAAAATGAATACATTTATTTTCCAAGATACAGTAAAAACGACATTTTAAGGTATGTCCAACTATTTTCAATTACATTTTAAAATCCGTATTATGCATTTATAAGTATATTAATATGTTTGAGTGATTTTTTTTTATTAATGTTCACCTTTCATTTAACATGTATATTTATGTTGTTCAAGACATTTTTCCTCTCTCAAATGCATACCAACAGCTATTAAACCTCAGTATGTAATGAGAACGACTGTTATGGTTTTAGACTGACAAGAATTAATATAGTGCATTATTTAATGTCCCCCAAAATAAACTTTGATATAAAAGCAGTTCAGTTGCTGTCCGTATACTCAAAGTCACAGTATGGCACCTCTCTGCAAGTTCCAAATTGTACCTAGCACCTTTTAAATTATATATGTGTGCTAGATGTCGATAAACAAACACATATATGTAAAGAAACTTTAAATATTGACGCTTTCAAGGCGTATACCTTTTTGTAAATTTTCGTTATTTAAATGAGGGTAGGTTGGTTGTGGTTATATACAAGTAACCAAGTCTAAAAATATATGTTTGCGTTGCTTATTACTCCAGTAATCCTTTAAAGGACAAAAACATAGGCGGAAGATATAGTAAACTCTCTAGTCGATGACAACCTGATAACCCCGTAGCAACATAAAATAAACTACCAAAGACAAAAATAGTATACATATCAAAACACAAATAACTATAGACTGAGGAACACGAACCTCAACAAAATGGAGATGACCATATGTGCTCCGAAAGAGTAATCAGACTCTGCCAAACATTTGACACCCGTTGTGTGTATCCTATAAAATATGCTCGTAAGATATGTTAAGTGATTAAGCATCACACAACAGCGGATTTGTAATTTGGTAAGAAATTACCAAATGTATAAGACATCAGGAATGTTCATAAGCCCCGAAACTGAATCAAAATTTCGAAATTGAAATACGTTTTCATGACAAAGATAGACAATATAGAATTAACAAGATATGATATGATTGCCAATAAGACAATTCTCCAACAGATGCCAAATGACATAGAAGTTAACGACTGTAGGTCACCATATAGCCTTCAACAATTAGCAAATCATATATCGCGTATAGCACGCTATAAAAGGATCCGAAATGACAAATATAAAACAATCAAAACAAGAAATCTAACGGCCTGGTTTATGAACAAAACAATAAACGAAAAACAAATATAACATACAGCAACAAACAAATTCTCCGAAAAAACAGTCTCTTGATTTGTGATAGACACCAACAAAGCGTGCTTTAAAATGTTTGCTGGCCCTTAACCCTCCCGTACACTGGTACAGTGTTGTGACAATACAACATATGAACAAACTATACAAATCAGTTGAAAATGGCTTAACTCACCAGATCGATAGAAAGCACATAAAAACCTTAACAAAAACACAAAAGACACAAAGTAGTACTCGCAGTTACTAAAACTAGTTCAACAGCAATATCAACTAATAAAATAACTTGTGTCTAAGACTAAACTATCAATCGGCATATATACAACATCAAATACATTTAGTGTAAAGACGTCATCAACTTTTAAACAAAAAAATGGCCTTGTACAATGCCAAAATATAGGCATCGATAGATTGTAAAACAGTGAATGTACATACGTGTATAACAATGATATTTAGTTCGGTTTGGCTCAGTAAACAATATCCCAGTGAACATTATAATGTGCTATCTTGTTTGTATTACAGCCTAATTTCCAAACCAATTTTTTTTTTTTATCTTTTAGTAATGTGTGGTAACGAAATCCTTCAATCACTAATTTACTAGTAATACACAAATTACGTTTATAAGAATCTAAACCCTCACTACAGACACGGGCATAGCGAACAAGTTGGTATATATACACCGTAACATGGTGCAAAAGGAATATCACCATTAAATAAAAAGGAAAATTTATAAATAGGAAACGAAAAATAGTCCTTTGTGAAGTAAAAAAGTGATGAGTTTCCCGTTTAGACCTGACATATCTAAATCTAGGAAAAGACGGCTATTACAATCTATTTTTGATATGTTTAAAGTGAATTCATCTTTTGTAAATTTCAGTAGTATATTAAGAAAATTCTTGCTTATCTAACGAAAAAATATGATCAAGTTACCTGTGATTGTTAACAGTACTGGAACAATATAAAAATAAGGAGATGTGGTATGATTGCAAATGAAACAACTATCCACCAAAGTTCAAATGAAGTGGTTGTAAGCAATTATAGGCAACCGTACGGCCTTCAACAATGAGAAAAACCAATACCATGTGGTCGGCTATAGAAACTGCAATGAAAAATATGAAACAATATTTCAGCTTTTTTTATTAGAGAAAACGGCTTTTTATGAGTTCCATCCGATGAATTTGCAATCAAATTATCCAACGACAATTTAACTGAATAGGAACACTTTTGTTTGATAAGGTTGTGTGGAAGTGTAGTGTTAAGAGTTGAAAAGTAAAACCTGTCAACCGAATTCAAACAACCATCAAAAGTACGTTATTTATCTAAACTACCAACATAATGTTTTACGAATAAAAAAAAATTCATTTCACTACTTCCATATAATTTAATACAAACTTCAATGATAATGTTAAGGGACTAGTTAAACATTTTAAAGGCAATAAAAGATAAGTTGTAGTACACTTATTGAAAGCCGTGATAAAACTATATTTTACGGATTGTTTGTGTTGTTCAGGTAACTAATACATAGTAGGGACTTTAAAATGGTCAGATGGGATGTTGTGATGATATGATTGTTTACTCTATGACTCTCTGTGCAGCTCAAATATCTATCTCTACAAGTAATTAGAGGTTTAGACCAAGGTTATTCCACCATTTTCTACATAAAAAATGCCTATATCAAGTCAGGAATATGACAGATGTTTTTCATTTATTTGTTGTGTGAGCTTTTGATTTTGCAATTTCATAAGAGATTTTCCGTTTTAAATTTTCCTTGCAGTTTGGTATTTTTGTTATTTTTCTTTTCATCTCAAGGTAGAAGAATTTAGAATTATTTCTTAAGACCTTCCTTTTACATGTATACGGTATACCACCACGACTTTCCTGGCTTCTTTGTCGGCCGATACGAACACAAACCGCTTCGCATGTACTTGAATTTGAAGTTTGTCGTATTCTAGAAATAAGCGTTTTATATACCCTTTTACCAGGAAGAAATGACCTTACCCCTATTTGGCAAAACTATGAACATTTTGGATCCACTATGCTCTTCAGCTTCGTAATTTGTTTTGCCTTTTTAACTTTGTTTGATTCGAGGGTTACTGACGAGTCTTTTGTAGACGAAACGCGTATCTGGCGGATATAATTTTAGTCCTGGTATCTATGATGAACATATTTATCTATTTATTTTTAAATTTATTTCAACATGTTAAATTCAAATATCCACAATATTCATACATTTATCTAAATTACAAAAATTATTAAAATACAATGAAAGAGCGCTTACGTTCTACAAATTTACTTCAGCAAAACTTTTTTTTCTTCCCTCATGAGGAAACTGCAGCTTCTGTGACATCGTGGCAGCATCGCCTAGACTGTATTCAGCCACTAAACCACTCGATCAGCTATATTAAAACATAGCTTTTGTTAATCGAGTAATGGTTTTTTTCTGTCGGCGATCTATAGGGTTGTTATATATAAATATATATATAAACACGTTTAGCGCATTTTCGGCTTTGAAATTACAATTCATTTGTTCTAGTTGAAAGGAATGTATTCCTTCATATTAGATACATACGAATAATAAGTTACATGAGTTGATGATAACAATTTGTTTTGTACTTTTCTTTTATCAGATTTCATTATCCATCAAACTATACGTACCAGACAGAAAATGTCACAATGGCAAATAACCCTATAGGTATAGCAATTGACCCGGTATACCACCATGTGTATTGGATAGAACGATATACGGGAAAGCTTTATCAGAGTAATATGGATGGGTCAAATCAATTGTTAATATTACAGGATGATCCAATGTTTGCTTTAACATTAGATGTTACTAACAGGTGTGTCTATGTCTATCCAATATATCAAAAATTATGATTTAAACAATGAAAAAAAAAACCCAAATACTGCTACATTGTTCACACATCTCTCGGCCATGAAAGTGAACGTATAGTTTTGATTTTTTTTGAAACAACAAAACTAGGCTTATTGTGTCATCATCGTAAAAACCATACATTTTGTATCCATGTTTGACTCATCATTTGAAAATAATAGTTAAAATAGAAATGTGGTTTCTTAAAATTGCTGTCAACATTGATTTTCTTTTTAACATGATGATACATTTTTGTTATCTAGACAAGGATAAAAGTCCAAACAAACCGCGTTGTATGTTAATTATGTTACTGCTTGTACATTTGTGTCGTTTCTCTCTTTGACACAACACAAAGTATGCTCTGTGACTCGTACATGTTTGCAAAGACTTTTTTACATCTCGAAGTTTGTTTTCTAAAAAAAGAGCACCTCGAACGAATAACAATGCGTTGAAATGTGAAATATTAAAGGAAATATCCTCCTCAAAACGATACGGCAATGCTAAAACATCGGGCAATGCAAATGAGAAAGAAAAATCAAAAGCCGAACAGATACTACATGTATGTTATCTTCTGTGTATATAGAAAAACCCAAATGTATGAACTTAATTTGGATTTGGATCGAAAAATCAAATATATATGCATTTTAAAAATGAAGTGCTACACATAGATTTGCACCTCGTATGAAAATATTTAACTAATTTGAACATTTATATAATAGGTGGGTGTATTACAGTATAATTGACACCGCAAACCACGCAATAAGGCGAGCTAGATTGAATGGGACTGAAATACAGACTTTTACAGATATTCATACACAAACAGTATCTGGTTTGAGCATAGGTATGCTACCCGATCATAACTTAAATGACCATAGCACAATAACATCATTGCGGGATGTAGAAAAACCGAACCGCGCCAAAAGTATATAACCAAAAATGGACTAAGCAGTAATGGTTAAAAATGTACAAAGAACATTACAGTTCACAACGTCAGTACCTAGAATCTATACTTCAAGACCGTTATGTATTATTTGTGAAGTTGATACGGAAAATTCATCAACAAGGTCTTGGTATCTTTCATTTTTTTTTTTAGAAAAAGGACGAGAGGTTTTTTTAACATAACCCTGGTTGATCAACTTTCTGCTCAGACACGGGTAACGTTTCATTAAGTCTGAGTAGCAGCTACAAGCTCTTGAATGAGTTGGGAAATGTTTATCCCGTATGCAGGTTAGATTGATATATTGCTGTTAGGGTGCGGGAAATTCCTAATTTCAAAACTAAAATCGTATCTTTTGTCATAGATTCTGGTACTGAGAAGACTGTTTGGGTCAAATTACAGGTATAAGTCTAAAATTAAGGCTGAGAAAGCCGTGTCTGTTGTTAAGTGAATGTCTAGTTCTGAAGGATATATTATTAGAACCCAATAAAATAAACTTAATACACAAATATTACGAAATAAAAAAGCGGAATTATAATTTGATCAGTTTAATGCATACGCTATTGTCTACCTTTCCTGTTGAGTTAAAGCCGGGAGTTATATACATCTGCAGTAAAGTTTAGAATAGTTAGGTTCTAACACTTTCTGTTATTGAATGCAGAAGTTTTGTGTACGTTACACTATTAATTATGACATGTTAAGTCACAAGACTATTGTTAACATTAAGCCAACTCTATCTGAGAGCATGGAACACAAACCATAATAGATGGCGTCTTTGAGATCATCAACATATATTATTACAACTATTACATGCACAGAAAAATTATTAACTTTTAATTTATAAACATAGACAATGTTACCAGTTTAACATTTTTTGTAAATGCATGGAATAAATTATCAATAAAACAATCTTCATATTAGATTCCAACGAAGGGCACATTTATTGGATGGAGTATATAACTGGGGATTTGATGTCTTCAAATATTAATGGAACTGCCGTAACACAAGTTTTCATGACGAGTACAACCAATACAAACAGAGGCATTCATGCATATAATAGCATAATATACTGTTCAAATGGCAATCAAGTACAAAAGGTCACAGTTTCATCAGTAGTTACATCGAATGTCATATACACAGACAAAGAACAAATTTATGGTGTATTTATTTACAATGAAAACTGTAAGTATGTTAACCGGCATCATCTTTTCTTGAAAACAAATATATATTTTTTAACACAACGGATTGCTATTTAGTTGTATCATTGATACTTTCCATTTGCTTGGAAATACTTGACACTTTGAACTTGGAACTTACAGATGCAATGTATTCTGCAATAAGAATATTCTTATATAAAGATAGTATTAAATAGATTAAGATATACGTTTCCTATTTTCATGATATTAAAAATGCAAACCCGCAGTTGTCTTTAAATATTTCATTATTTAATTTGTCAAACGTTTTGATATATTGTTGTCTCAACACATTTATATTAATTTCTGTATCTATGTTTTTTTAATATGTTAGAGCAGCTTTATGCCTCCGCTTCCACGCATATGATTATAACCAAAAACTAGATAATGCTTTGACATATTTATGAATAATTTAATTTGCTTCAATTACAACTAATCCTGTATATAGAATTGAAGAATCACGTTTGGCGATGCGTGATACTAGTATTGAATATTGCAGTTCTTATAATATCAAATCAATAAATACAAATATCACCCACCCTAAATAGTTTCTTGATGTTATTGTATTATTCCCTCGTCAGATTTTCAGTTCATAAATGTCAGCGAAATTTGTTTATGGGAACAAAATGACATCAGTAGCCGATACATAATTGATACATCTGTGTAAATATTCATTTACATTAAAAAATAACCTATTTCTATTTATTTATTTTGCATTTATGTTAAAATTGTTTTTAGTTTTGCAAGTATTTTATTCTCCTGTTTGCTTTGAAGATATGTTTAGTTTTAATTTAGATATCTAGGGACATAACATATAGTTTGACTCCAGTGACAGACATTTAAGAGTGAGATTTTTTTTATCGGTCGTCCCACTGTATATATTACTCTGCTCAGCTCATAATACAATTGCATATCACCACTTTGTGACGTCAAATACGTTGACCCGGCCTTAATAACTTTGACCCGGACATTTCAGCGACGTCACAATATATGAACCAACGTTGATAAGTTTGACCCGAACTTATCAAGTGATCTTCAGTTTTGCTGGCGAATCAAAGAAAACACTTGTTTCTATTATGCAAAATATGCAAATACAACCCGATAAATCGATTATTTGGATGTCTGAACCTTGATATTATCAGATTATTATATGGCATTTTTTATATCAGATGTATTATCAGCCCAAGGTTCATTATCAGCCCAAGAGCCAAAGGCTGATAATGTATCATTCGGTATTCACGGGGTTGCAGTTGCTACTCTGATGTTGACCGAGGGCTGATAAAATATCTGATATTAAAAATGAAATATCATGATCTTTTTATCATATGCTTCAGCAATAGAGAAAAAAAAAACAGTTTAATATATTGATCGTGTTAAGTCGTTCTCAAGTAGAAGTTCAAAAAGTGAAAAGTTTACGGATGTCGGACGCCAAATGTTATACATCCGATATGAAATCTTTCTATCATATGCCACAACAGAGGAGAAAAACAACAGTATATTATATGTTTATATTGACGATAACAACAAAAATTCAATAAAACATAATGAAAACTGTTCGTTGTGCTCACTCGACAAAAAGTTTCATATTGTGACTCGCAGCTTATATTCTACGATATCAATATGCAGACAACCTGATAATCGGTACATATCAATTGATTAAGATGGAAATGCCCATTTTTCAAATTTTTTACTGTTTGATAACTTTGTCAAAGCTAGTACTGCATTCAGGAATTGCTAACATGTAACTATGCACTTTAAGGGAACAATGAAATAAATCGTGACCCTATAATGCAATGTGCGCATGCACATTTAATAGCAAATATAAATTGATGTAGTTCACATTTGTTTTTCGAATAAAGAATGTACATATGTTAATAATGAAACAAGGAAACACAAAAAAAGGTAAATTTTTTTTTATTAATCAAATGTGTTTGATAACACTCAAATATATTGTAGCTTTCAATGAACAGAAAATTCAGATGCGGATTGCAGTACGCCGGGATGTAATAGAATAACAATAACCGTAACTGTCTTTCTTATCGATCAATGTAAGTATTATGCTTTTCCTATGTAAATAAGTCCATACATAAACTTTAATTGTTGTTATATTCACTTTAAATTTCCAAGAGTCTGCAAATATCATATTTTGCACTCAACCAGTAAGGTCGAGCACAGATGTTATTTGACAAGACTCAACATAATCTTAGCAGTACTTACCAAACGGTATAGGTTTTTCTCATTGATGAAGGCCGTACGGTTGCCTATAATTGCTTTCATCCACTTCATTTGAACTTTGACGGATAGTTGTCCTACTGGCAATCATACCACATCTCCCTATTTTTATATTAACTGTAGTTGTCCTTGGTTTAGACTTTATTTAATAAGTCTGATTGAGTACTTGATTATCTAGGTATAGTCTGAATATGGTCTCTACAAATGCTCGGCAAATAACGACTCTTGCATTGACCATTTTCGAATACGTCTAGACGACACGATCAGGCGTGACCTTCAAATCTAGTCTCGACTGTTCTTGACGTAATCTTAATAAGCGCATTAATGTCAATTACATATTGATCTTACAAAATGCCAGGTTATTTGGTAGTTTCATTTATTGCTGTCAAATTTGAGGATTCAATTAATAAGCATAAAAAGCTAGAATTTTCTGTTCAGACCAAATTTAGATAGTCCCCTATAACACTTTCTACAAGTTTTACAATTCAACCTTGATTTTGTTAAAACTCTACAGCTATCTCAATTTTTATTGATTTTACAAAGTGTCACGTTATTTGGTTGCTAAGTTTATTGCTGTCAAATTTAAGGAATTATTTAGTAG